AGGAAAAAGATAAACCAAATCATCATTGAGATATAATGGTTTCTTTACAACGGCATCCATGTACTAAGTAACAAATTTAACTAAGCTGCTTGGAAAGTAATGCATGCCTGTCATTTTGCATCTAGTATGCATGCCTAAACAAAAAATAAAAAATAAAAAAAGCAGACATCACATGAGCAAGTTATTAATCCTTTGTGCTTTGCCAGCACTGAAGTAACAGCACTACTGTCAGAGTCGGTGCGATTCTGAAATAATGCTTGCATAGAATTTCATACTGGGCTGATGTGGAGATGGCCTGTAAGATGGACTGTTTGCAGAAACACTAAATCATTTCTAAACCTACTACTATAAAAAAAGTAAACACAAAAGCACAGTAAGATAACAGTATAAAATTTCATGGAAGAAAGTTATAAAACCATATTCACAGACTTTAAGCAAGACACTATTGGATAATATGTTAGACTTCCAGTTGCACCTTCTTCTATCCACAAAAATCCTTTCTTCTTTTGATATCAAAGCAAGAATTTCTCTGCAAATGCCTGACTTTTGTCAAGTGCTAAAAAAGAAATCAAATGCTGCTGATAATGTAGAGGCATCACGCATTAGAACAGAAGACTCGGATACCAGAAGGAATCAGGTGGTATTTTGTCCGTCCATTGCATTCTCCAGAAAGAATACACACTTTAAAACACCATATGAGCCATCCCAGCCGAGGTACTGTTTACTTTTAACACTCTAAGCTTTGCTACCTTCTGTCAGCGTTAAGCAAGCGCACCGCAAAAACTACAACTTGTGGATCAAAGTCAGGTCTAACTGTAATGGAAACTGGTTACCTCCCACGCAGGGACGTTCTCTCTGAACTTCTCGTTCACCATACAGCAGATTGACATTAAATATGCCTTACTGGACACCTCTGGAGAATAATTCATCCATAGGTAATTTTCAAGGTACTGGCTGTGAAGAGAGAAAGCGTATTTCATTAGTTGCTGCCACCCACGTAATCTGTCATATTTAAAAGGGCATTTATCCACAAGGTTTTCTTCCTCCTTCTTCTTAAAGCCATCTTTATAGTTTGTGAGTAGTTCCTAAAGTTACCTCTCATCTAGGTCACTGCAGCAAAACCTATTAAGACTTGCTAACTGCTACAAGAGACAGACGAGTTTCTGAACAGGAAGACAAATTCACCAGAGGGTTTTCAAGTGTAACAAGCAGCCACAGCTCAATGCAAAGGACAACAGAAAAGAAGAAAAAATTCACTTTTCTAAAGCTAGATGAAAAGATGAAAAGAACAACTACTGTATAACAAAAGAACAACTACTGTATAACAGTAACACTGTATAACAGTACTGTATAACAACTACTGTATAACAGTAGTTGTACTATTAAATAGCTTTTTTGTAAAAAAATAGAAATTATTTAGAGAAATTTTTATGCTTCTAATCATTTAAAGACAATAAAAATATTGCATTACTATGTGACTAAAATAAAGCATTGAATATTAGGGAAGTGATTAAGCACTTTCAAGGTAAAAAGAATTACTGAACACTGGAAAACAGCAGCTTCCCAGCAATAAGTATTTCTTCTTCATTAATATGTCTCAATCCTCACAGAAGAAACTCTTAAAATTGTATCTTGGAGATGAGAGGCTGTTTGGACAAACAACTGCCTCCCTCCTTTAACTTCCTTTTGAAGCTATGCAGGACAGTTACTCCTGAGGAGGCAATCCCTAAATCCATCATTCTCAACGATGCACTTGTTTGCACCTGGTAATACTTTAACAACTGCCACCAGAGAGTGGAAAGTCTTGTTTCTTCCCAAATAAGCTGCTCATCCATTCCTCCCTCTCAATGCCTCCTCCAACATCTGGCCCCTCGACAGCCAGCTCAGGTTTACCTACTTACTTCTCTCCACAGCTTACTATCTGAAGTCTTACAGTAAGCTACTTCAATACTTTCAGATAAGACAACTCCCAGAGATGGTGGTGAAAAAAAGACAGTGAGAACTTGTACATAACCAGGAGCAAAAGGCTCAGTAATGGTCAGAAAGGGGTTTACACTTTCTGGGAGCTCAGCCAGAACACAAAACCGCAGATGGAGCTGAGACAACTTCATAGGCATACACAAGACGAAATACATACTGCTTCCCGAGAGCTTGCATCTGCCAATGGCAGGTGGAAAACCCCCAAAATATCCACAGAACTCCACACATCATTTCACCCAGGAATTCCAATAAACTTCAACACATATAAACACATATGAGCAAGAATGAAGGACAGGAGAACCTCATGCGTGTGAAGACAGGAGAGCCTGACAGACAGAATGAGAGGGGTGAGGGGAAGAAAAGAGAGAAAACAGCTTACAGGACAAATGGTTCTAGATGGGGCTATAGACTAGAACGTACTGAAGTTACATTATAGGCTGGTAATATCAAAAATGTTCACAGAAAGGATAAAAACCTCTAACTGCACAGTGTTCTGGCATACAAATACCAGAAGTCACGCTACCAGCATGTCATTTGTCTATCATACCCCAAACCATAGCTTCTATTTTCTCTTCCACCTTTTCTAATAAAGAAACAGAAGACATAGGGAGGTTTCTCCTCTTTTCTAGTTAGTGGTACTACTGATATATTTCAGCCTTTTGCAAATCTAGTTTTTGCAAATCCATTTCAACCAAAAAACACCTAATTCTATCTGCTTATAAGATTCGAGAGATAAACACTAAATACTGTGGTTTTAAATATGTAGATGTTGCAGATATTTTACATTATTTTAATCACACTTTATAAATTCTTCCTGGAAAGCTGGAAGTCGCTTTAAGAATCTTCTCAATGGAAGAAATCTTCCACTTCTTTTCAAGCTGGAGAGGGTCTAGAAGGGCCACAAAGATGATCAAAGGACAGGAAAGCTGCCTTAAGGAAAGGCTGAGAGAAGTGGGATTGTTCGGCCTCGAGAAAAGAAGGCTTAGAGAAGACCTTATCAGGTTCGGAATCATACATCAAGATATCTTACGTTTATGAAATTATTTCTTCATTAAATTAAGCTCTCCTCACTCCACTTTCCTCGGCACACAAGTCAAGGTTTTAGTAAGTAGGAACAAATGAGCATACTTTCAAACTGACTCACTGCTCTGCGTTTCCTTCTCATCTTTACAGGTTCCTATGATAAGGTAATTTAAAAATTTAACTGCAATCAGCTTACCTGAATTCAAGAAGCATTATCTTTCTAATAGCAAACCTAAAAAGGAAAAAGTAATCAATTAACGCAGGAAAGAAAGGCCTGGTTTAGTCATTTCATTTTCCAGCTCAGTCTACAAGGCTGCACTTTCTGAAGCTAGCAGCATGTTTTTGCAGACAGCTGCATGGAAAATGGCTGTATTTTCCTTTTTTTTATTATATAACAAAACCTGTAGAAACAGGTTGCAGGAGCAACCACTTGAATGCAAAAGCAACTGCTGTTAACACTGTGGAAGCTAAAGTTCATGCAGGTTCATTAAGCAATCCAATTCACATTAAAAAAAAATAAAAATCCATCTAGACCTTTTAAATATAGACACTGCTTCCAATAGCCTTGAAGAAATAAATTGCTGTAAGTTGAGAGTGTCTTCTGGAAAACCACAACTCTGTATTTAATCAGTTCGCAATGGTGTCTCTTCTTAGTGACTGCAAATAGAAGCTTGCTCTGACGCTGTGTGGCAATTTTTACGTTACTTACATAAAGGAACCATAAACAGAATTATCTCCAGAGCTCAAACTTCCCCTGAACAGCTCCAAATACCTACAGTTACAACTCTTTTCTATACACACAGCTGTAGAATGCAGTTTATCTTGAATCTTTTTACTTCCCCATCTAATACTACAATTCACTGAAATGAGACTTGACCTTTATAAATCTGGTATGGGAAAGAATAAAAAGCTAGATGCAACACACTCCTCAACTGTTGTTTTGCTTTTTAATTTTGTGTATGTTAGTGACAGAAGAAGGAACCATCCTTCTATAACCATCACAACAAAACAAACATAAACCACAACATACTAGGAGACGAAGGAACCAAACAATATTACATCCAGCCACAATAGTTCAGGATTATGAGTTCATGAACTTTCTTTCTGCCACATTCAGACTCTGAAATATCATGAGTAAATTGTTCAAGTGCACTGGAGTAATTTTCATCTTCTTTCAACATGCTAATGCATTTTAAAATATTCTGTGAATCATTAGAAATCATTTCAATACACGTAATGTTGGAATGTTTATCTGTAAATGAAAGCAACTAGTGTACTTACTTTGATCTGACAATTTCTTTTATATATACATCTTCAATAACCTATGGGAAAGAACAGTTTTAAAAATGTTTTAAGAATTTTATATACTTCATAAAGTGATTAAAAATGCACTAAGACATCTTATGTACTCAAATTTATTCTGAATTAGTTACTCTCTGCTTACTGCTATTTGATCAAAAACATCATCTATGTGTCAGCTCTAAAAAGTCCACATGCTCTGTAGACACACACCCTCACAAAGAAAATGAATCAACTTAGGGGAAAGCACACAATGATAGAGAACTGATAGGATCTTCATCTGACATTTTTTTATATATAGTCAAAGAGATATGCAAACTACTTTACTGTTAATCGTTGGCTTACCATTGAATTTCAAGTCAAGTCCACATCAATTCAATCATTTCCTGTCACTGCTTCTTTTAGCTGACATGTAACCAAATCCAAGTATCTGCTACCTAGTTTTTCCAACAGGAGTGAAAGAATCTGCACTATCTGTTGCAACAGGCACACTTTGACCTCAGAAGACACAAAGACACAATTCAATTGCTTGTGTATATCCTTGCTTTGAAAATCACGGACAAATACTATTACAAAGACTATAAAGAGCGTGAGTAAACTGAGGTTGGAAAGGGAGATTCAGCCAAATATCCCCAAGGGAAAGAAGCCGAACATTTAAGAACCTGCACCACAGAAAACCAAATCAAAACCAAACACATCAGGCCAAATTTTAAACATTCAAAACACACGTGTCCACCAGAACAGCACTAAAGCTGTCTGATCAAAACTCTCTGAAGATTTCAGAAAAAGAAAAATACAGTAACACCTGCAGCTTTCATCCTTCTTTGATTTCTAAGCGTAGCCCCTCCTGAAACATCTTTTAACCTCAAAGGAGATCCTCAAAAATCTTTTAGTCTCAGAAGCTGTTGGCCAAAATAAACTGAACAAACAGCATACAAAAGAACTGCACTTGTATAGTACACTTTCACAACAGTGCCTACATTTATAAACTACAAATAGGTAACAAATTACACCGTGTTCAGCAACTGCTGACTTTCCAAGCAGTCTCCTATACTCTTACATAAAATAAGCATCATTGGAGACTGGTGTATAAGAAAGTTGATCCTCACTCCTTTACATCCCAACACAATTCCTGTAGAAGTATTTACCTTCAAATCAAAGGACAATTTTTTCTTCACATGTGGAGCCCAGTATTTATTTGCTAACTGTATGGGGGGAAAATAAATAAAAAGGTTAAACACATACATTTCCAGTTGTAGTGACAAAATAACTCTAGAACACATCCCTATTTCCCTAGTATCTTCCTTAATTTCAGCTTAAGGTAACTACAGGTAACAAAATTATGTTATCCAACAGCAATGCTTTTCAACCATTTAAGATTTTATGCCTTAACTTTCTCCAACAGAAGCGCAACTCTCTGTAAAAATTTCAGCTGCACGGGCTGCTATGTAACAGACAGGGGGTTTTACATTATTTCTAGCGAATTCCTCAAACACACATCATGATATTTCCGGGACTGCACACCCCACACTTAGAAGTGATTGCGGTCCCACTGAGAAATAAAGTCTACACATAAAGGTTTAATGTTTTAAGGCTTTTTGCCACAGCCATCCCATCACAAAATCCCGAGGTAGGGTGGCAAGAGCTTCCTAACCAACTTTATCCAGCCTTCTTTATGCCGTAAAAGAGGAAGGAAAAAAGTACTTTCAGGACAACAACAACAACAAATCTCTGGCTAAAAAACCTCTTAAGATATTTGGCTGCAAGAAACCACCAGGACCTTCCCATGTATTGTAAGAAACCGAATTTATTCTGCAGCACTGCTCAGAGAATCCTAGAATGGCCAAGGCTGGAAGGGACCTCAGAGATAGTTTAATCCAACCTCCCTGTCGTGGGCAGGGACGCCTCTCAGTCAGATCAGGCAACACATGGGGACCGAGCGGGGATGTCGAATCTCTCCAGCCCAGAGGCGGCAGACACCCCTTTACGTTGAACACGGGCGTTAAACCTCCCTTCACTTATATCACAAGGAGCCCCTTTCCCTCACGGCCCCGCGCTCCCAAGCCCGTGCGGAACCCCCGAGACGCGGCCACTCCCGG